TAGGAAAACTTAGTGATTAGAAGTTGTTTTTCTTGATGATTTGACATACATAAAGTATAATGATTGCTTTCTAGACCAACTTTAAAGACACAGGACTCAAAGTAGACCATTTAATCAGGTCTGTAGGTCTGCCATATTTAAATTGGGCTAAGAACCATAACTTTAAGCAGAAGGTTTTACTATATTTGAAGTTTATATAATCATATATCATATGATTTCAAACAATGCCTTTTCCATGACAACTGTGGTTCTACTCTTCCCAGGGATCAGCCAGCTAGATGCAGACTACTATTTGTTTCATAGTATAATCATTACTTAACTAATATTAACTGAACTCTACTAAGCTAAGTGGTCTTCTTAGCTTTTACTTATCTCCTTTCTTCTTTTCTTTATATGACATATTGCTTCCCACAGATTTGAAATTGAAAGCTTTGAAGACAAGTAATATGTCATACGTGTACAAGAGCTAAAATAATGGTTGCTTATCATTTTAGATTATTTATATATTAATCTGTGTTGGTTTGTTTTTTTTTTTTTTTGTATATATAGGAAAAGCAACAGCTGATACCGAGGTTCAAGAAGGTAATTTTAAAAAGGATTTACAGGTCATTCACTATCTATGCAACGTGTTCCAAATAAAGTTTAATGATGAAGAGAGATGTTGGCCTTCAGCCCTTTTTGTTTAATGAGCTAACAAGGCTTCACTTTCCTGGTCAGCACTGAGAACATTTTGATTTACAGTAGATAAAACTGGATAAAATGTTTACAGCTTAAGCTGGAAAATCTTGCTTCAAAGACTAAGCATATCCAGCTCCTGGCTAAAGAATTTTGAATCTATTTTCCTATCAGAGGTCAAGCTTTTCAGCTATTTTTGCAATGGCTCAACCTGTACTGCACTTTCCACAGCACCTGGAAAGAAAGGATTAATGAATAACCTTTTTCCACTATGGAGAACAAGAGTTAAAACACTCTCACAGTTGCCTCTGAACTTCCCTCAGATTATGATCAATGAGTTCATTCTATTTTCCTGATGCCTCTTCAGTTCCCTCACTATATGTTGAGCTAAGAGAAGCCCGTAGTTTTTTCTTTAGTTGTCCTATACTTCAGAGTATTTGTTCAGTCAATATGACCAACATATCTGGGTAAACACACCAGATGAGTACAAGCAGCAAAAAGCAAGGGAACATGGCTGATCAAGCATGAAAATGAAAATTTTTTCTCTTAAATGTCTTTGTGTTATCTTTACATTCAAAGAACTCTTGTCATGACAAAGCAATAAATACAGTTAAAAATATTTCACACAACCTTTAGTGAAGTTCATTACTAGTCTTACTACAAGGAATTAATACTGTGAAATAGGAATACGAATGACCATTTCAATGCTTCTTTTGATTTATTTAGCAAAAAAATTTGGTATTACCTCTGGAAGAGATGCTTTCTAATATATGTAATTAGATGACTACTCATATGTGCTACTATTTGGGTAGCAGTATATATGTACAGAAGAATTTACTGTAATCTCACCTAAAACAGTAATTTTTGCCTGTTAGTTGAAATATTTCACTTGCACCTTGTTCCAAAAAAAGGAAACTGTTTTCAAAAGAAACTTTAAATGAGAATTTGGGCTCTAAGTTTACTCACTGAATTGAACTACTATGTAACTAGCTTCCATGCATATAAGATCAACTATAATTTCCTTCTAAGCCACAAAACATTTTTATTTAAAAAACACATTGTTTTCTATTCAGCAGCTGCTTCAGGCTGTAAAAATTTAGAAACCATTATACAGTGTGAGACAGCATAAACTAGAATGGCACATACCTTACATGAATGCCATACATAGACACACCAAAGAAAATCCCTGAAGCACAATTGTGTTGCCAGTGCCAGTTTAAGCAAGCAAATCTTGTTGTTCCACCAAAAGGATATTTTTGTTTGTTTTGTTTGCTGTCAGATGTCTTGTTTTTAAATACCACCACAATGCTGAAATCCTCACTTTTTCAGAAGCTAGCAGTTCTAAGCATGCTACATACTGTTGTATTGAAGTGACTGAAGCAAAGCCAAACAGCGTATTTGTCATCATATTCCTGCATTTCCATTTTTTCCCCTGGCCTATCATTGGAACAATTTGTCTTTGTCTTTTTCAGAAAATGCTCCCTTTCCAAATCACCCCTCAAACAGAACAAGCTGCCAGGAAGACTGAAAGGCACACACAACATGGTCATGATAGGTTGTAATGAGTGCTGTGGGTGTTAGAACTTACAATGGGTGCATTTGGTGTTCCAGTTCAACGGTACTTTTAAAGATGATGTTTTTACACATGGTTACTTCCAGTCTGTATTGTACATCATAAATAAGCATTTTCTAGGAGGTATATTAGGCATACTGACCAAGGAGGTACAATACTGTTATATTAGCAGGCCTCTGCTATGATTCATTTCTGTATCATTTCACTACTGTTTTTTTCCCCCTGCATTTCATTCAGATTGTATTTACAGCTGAGGTGACATACTCATTTCTACAGGTTACATATATCTACCTTATATAGTATGCAGCATCACAACAAGGCATCTCAGGTTTCTTTATGGCAATTTTAGAAGGTTTTTTAAAGATATCTAGATTTACCATTTTTAATGTGCTCAAAGTAGTAGTTTTACCCAAGTAACAAGCATTTTTATCACTCCAGTATCTTTCTAGTTTGAGGGAGACATCTTGGTAAGCTGCATGCACACAGGCTGTGTTCTATAATCATGCTAGGAATTACAGAAGTGCTGCTTTCCACATTTCCTATGTCCGACAGAAAAATGCCTTTTACCATTCTGATGATATGAGACTGTCACCTGTGACTCCCCCTACTCAGAAGGGGCTCTCTGGGAGCCCCTCTGCTTGGTCAGAATCTGAGTCAGAAGCTCTTGAGGAGTACCTAAAGAGCAATCTGGTGTACTGGTTCCACTTCCCCTCTGACTCCCCTGTTGGGGGCTTCCATATGGCATTTTTTTTACAAGGAAACATGAGAGCCTCTGCCTCTGCATGGATTACAGAAAGCAGAAGGACATCAGAGTGAAGAACAAGCACTCCTTGCCTCTTACTGGGAAGTGCTCTGAACATCTGCAGTGGGCTCCGCTGCCCTCTATGGTGGATTTATAAGGGGCCGCTATGAGCATCCTCTGATGCCATTCAGCCTCTTCAAAATCCAGTATGCTGTAAATGCTGTTCTTAGGGATGTTCTTCATAGCTATGCTATGGTATACCTGTATGACTTCCTGGTCTTCTGCACCTCTCAAGAGAAATTTATTAACAGCATTTTCAATGACTTGCTGCAGTGTTGGCTGTGATGATCAGAAGAAATACTGCTTCAGCCAACAGAGGGTGGAGCTCCAAGGCTAACTGAGCAACCCTGAACTGCACATAGACTCCAAGGAGACTGATGACATCACAAGTTGGCAGCATCTTCTAGCACAGATGCAATGGTTTTCAGGATTTACCACACTCTAAAGATAGTTCAGGAGGGGGATTGCTGGTTTGTATCTGCAATATACTAATTGCTGGTTTGTATCTGCCATACATGGCACTCACCTAAAAGAGGGCTTGACTTTTATGGATGCCTGATGCACAGTCAGCTTCTCAAAAATGGGTATTCACTGTAGCTTTTATCCTATACTCACCCTTTTAGTGTAGTACCAGATGCTTTAACCTATACCTGTTTCTCTGGGTAACGCACCCCACTGAGATGAATTATGCCTAAAATAATAAGCTCCTGCTAATCAAATCTAACTTTGAGGATTGATGGTGCAGCTGTGAGGGAGCAGAAGGACAGAAAATGGTGATGACCAGCCCCCCAGGCTGGAAGAGTATTGAGGGATGAAGTGCATGTCTCTGCTTTGCATCCTGTCCCTCCTTCTTTTTTTCCTTCCCTTTCATTCTCCTTTGTCATCTAGGAAACAGAATTTCATGGTAGATGCCTTGTCATGGAAGAACGACACAGATTTGGATGCACACCTCATACACAGACCTTGTCGTCTTTTTCTCTGCTTCACTTCAGGTGTGGTAGAGGATGAGCTTATGGCCAAAATTCACCAAGTCATGGTAAACAACATGCTTCTGGCTCAGCATTGTGATGGCACAGCATCAACTAACCTCTAAACAGAAAGGGAGATATCTCACAGGGACTGCTGAAAAGATGGCTTTTCCACTGATGCCACAATGCATCTGAAGCTGGAAATGAGATTCAGCGCTTTTGTATCCAGTCCTGTGAGTAATGCATTGTATGGACATGTGTGGTTGATAATATTTGGGTCTGTAACATCAGTAGTTGTACCAAAAGGCTTCTGCAAAGTCTACAGTGTGTTATAGAGCCATAGTAAAAAACAGGGCCTGTGGTCCCCTAGTGGTACCTTAAGATCTGTCTCTAATCATGCTAAAAATGTAAACACCTGTATTGTTCCTATAGCTCTCATTGGAGGAGGTGGGTAGGAAAGACAGATACACATTTCCATATCTCTCCCCCCATCCCCAATCATGGATATAAAGGAGAATAAAAGAACTTTCATTTCCATGCTCCAGGTCCTGGGTTAAAAAATGGCAGCCAAGCCATTTCACTGGTGGCTTGAGTAAACAGTGCAAAATGAGAAAAGACAGCTGCCATGGAGCCTTTCAGTAGATTTCCTCCAGCTGTGCAGGTTGCTGGCCAGAGAGCTCCTTCTTATTTTTTTACTGCAGTCTTAATTTTTAAAATTTTATTATCTCTCATCACTATTTCAGTGCACATAAGGTAATCAGAAAGGAAGAGTTATCAAAATGTCTGTTGCGTAACCACACACAATTTGATGGACAGTTTCTTCTTTCCTTTGAATGTGATATGCTCTATTCAAAACTAGATTTTAAACAGTATTGTATTTACATAATCAATTTATCTCTACCTAATTATGACTTTTATATTATTCATTATTTAATTTATAATTTATTTTAACAATTATCTTTTTTTCCATTTCCTTCTTTGCTTTTCTTGATATTATGACCTAATGTAAGAGAAAAATCTTTGTGCAACATAGTTTCTATCAGAGCATCATAATTAGCTACAAAAGTATCTTAACCTTTTTTCTTCATAATGAGCCTGTACCTTCTAACACTTTTGGTGGCTTGCTTACTCCCTTCATTCTGCATTGCTCTTTCTGACTTCATCAGATTATTTTTCTAATTGGAAAAATGCAAGCAGTCTATTGCATACTCCATTAATCACTAGGTTTAGCCCACAATTTGTAAAAAGTCTTGGCAAATTGTCAATACAGAAAAAAATGTCTATTGTAAAAAAAAGAAAAAAGGAAAAAATTTTTCTGGTGAATTTTCTTTTGATTAGTCTGTGATGTTTTGGAATTTTGCACACTGGAATATCTCTTAAGAAAACATTAACCATTTTGACTGGACAATAATTTCTCTGAAAAGGTCATATACACTTAAATTAAAAAATAGCAAAATCTTCACAGTTGCACACAGAAGGTGTAGAAACACAATATGAAAACAAAAATAGTGTAAGAAATAAACTGCAGATGAATATGCAAAATAACACAGATCTTAATAGCACTAGCTTTCTGTAATACAAACTGTGAGGTCCTATTAGCAAAGTGAGCAAAGATAAAAAGAACACTATCATGTAAACACAGAAAAAATAGGAGATTATGTGAATAGAGTACTAAGAAAACATAGTTTTTGGTTGTTTTTTTTTTTTTTTTGAGAAACTCAAGTCATGACTTTTCTAGGAATATTGGTACAGAATACTGTGGTTGTGCCTAGTCATGTGGAAATTTGATTACTGCAATGACCATTTATGATTTCTGCCTTGCCAGCCTGACAGTGTCAGCTGTTAAGTCTAAAGGTCCCTGTATACAGCACTGAGATTTTGACCACACAAGCTTTGTTGTTGCTGTTCTTACACTGCTCAATGGCAACCTCCTGAGCTTTGGCTCTGCTGCATTTTGTACTGTAACATTTCGGGCTGACATTTCTGGTATGGTACCTGATTCACTGCTCTTGCAGACAGTACACCAGAGCTGAGCTTACTCCATGAGCAGAGTTTTCATAGTGCTGTTTCCCTCTATCAGCCTGCCGTAGTTTGAGCCCAGCTGGAAAATAAGCACTATGCAGCCGCTCTCTCAATCCCTCTCTCTCCCCTTCTGTTGTACCAATTGCTCCTCATTATGCCCTTCTGACATAGTAGGGTGCTAGGGATACCAGTCACTGTCAGCTGAACTACCACCAGACCTTATTCCCAATTCATAGAATATCAGATGAAATTGGAGAAAAGCTTTATATTTCTCTTAATGCACAAGTGTAATTTTGGTCTGTCCTTAAAATGTCCTCACAGGCTTAAAAAAATCTGTAAACTCTCAATTTTCCACATGTATCCAGATAATATAAAATACATTCTGGCATATAAGAATAATTTTCAATCTTTATACAACTGGATTTATTAGATATGCATATGAAGAAAGATACTTGGCATGCACTGTCTGTGGCAATGTCTCATATATGGCTCTCCTGGATTCTAACATACATACATACCATCTTGCAAGTTACACAGCCCTATTAGACTGAAAAGAAAATATTTAGGTCTGGGAGCAAGGTTCAATCTACACTTTGAGTTCTAGGTCAGAGAGCTTGCTTTAGGTACCATCTGTACCTCAGCTATCTCCAGACACAGCAGAGGACATTTTCCCTTGTTTCTCCAAGGATTGAATGACCTTCTGCATGACAGTCATTCAACTGATAATTTTAATCTTTTAGTTAAATGCAAAACATTTCTCAGAGTTATTTCCCACTTTATACTATCCACAAGGCTACATCTGTTATTCTTTCCTAGTATTGCCCCCTGGTACATGAAGGACAGATGATAAATCTGGGCTAGATCGCATCTGGCTTTTCATGGGCTTGCAGTGAATCAGACAAAAGGGTACAAGGAACTCCTCCTGCTTTCTTAAGCATTCAGTCAAGGGGAAGACACAAATTTATCCCTGATTTAGTAGAGCTCTGAATGTGCACAACTTTTGTATTTAATATTTATAGAAACACTGAGTGCCAAAAAAGGATCTAAGGCCATGGTCAGCAGTGGAGTTAGGTGACTTTTTTTATTAATTTCATTCATAAAGACAATCCAGAAGAGACCAAAAATACTAGGATAGGTAATTTGGATTTCTTGACTAGATTTACTCCACACTTCAAAACAAAAACACCAGGTAAAACATTTCCCTTCTCCCTCAAATAAGAATAATACAATGGCAAAAAAAAAAAAAAAATCAGTTTCAGTTGTCAAAAAAAATCTGTTTCAGTTGTCTCTGTGTCTTGATTTTTTTTGTTCAATTTGACTAGCAAATTAAAAACCAAAAAAAAAAAACCTAAAACAGAAATAAAGCATCCATACAACTTTTTACGCAGTACAGGCAATGAGAAAGGCCGACGTTTAAGGAATGCAAATTGTACCCTTTGAAAAGAACAAAGCAATATAGCACAGTAAAGGTTCACCACACCCCTGATTATATCAATTTCATCCCTATCATACACCAGTACTACCAATCACACTATATATTAAAATTCATTATACTGTTCATTCTCTTATTAAGAGGCTAATCCAAAACCTGTTTCCATTATTAATCAGAAACATTTTAATTTTAAGATCTCAATTGTCCATGGCTACTACTATTATCCAATGGTACAGGTGTAAATAATTCATTCCCTTTGGTGTTTACTTTCTGGCCTATGTCTATTGTGCAATCGTCTGCCTTCACAGGCTTGTTCTCTAGACCGGGCCACAAAGCACAAATTCTCTAGTATTTTTTTTTTTTTTTTGGTGGGGGGGTGGGGTTTGTTTGCTTTTGTTTCGGGTTTTTTTTTTTAAATTTTTTTTCTAAAAAAAAAAAAAAAAGCTTATTTTAAAAAATTGCTTTAATCCAATTATTATAATAACTCTTTTCATGTTCCACTTTGAAATAACCTTGAATGGTGAGTATAACTAAACTTAGGATTCTAGATGAAGTTTCATTTGTGTCTTGTGCAATGGCATTATTGCTTCTTTACTCCAGGATTTAGTTCTTCCATTGCTTCCAAGGCCCAGAACATTTAACTTATCACAATTGATATTTGTTGGAGGACCTGATGCAGAAGGGATAGAGTTAATAACAAAATAAAAAGAACTGCGTGTACTTCTGAGGATTTAGAGGAAACAATTATAACAAGACTATTAACTTTGGGTTAAAAGAAAAAAAAAAACAAATAAAGACAAATGCTGTTGGTAAGTCTTTGGGTCAGATAAGCTAAATTAAAATAATATTTGTTTTAGCCTTGGGAAAATACAACTGCAAACTGGGAAATAAGAGTTATTACAGTTAGAAATGGAAAAATATAAAGAAGATTAGCTAAGTAGTTTAAACCAAATAATCAAGGATGGAAACATTTCTGCACTGTGTTTATAAGGGTATAATTGAAAGCAGGAGATAGACACTTTTAAGGTTTTCCTTAGTGTCTTCCAATATGCTCGTGGATTGATTAGCCACGAGCGATTCTAATAAGGATATAGTGCTCACTAGAGTTTAACTTCATCTCTCAAACAGAACAATTTGAGCATATAAAGCTTTCTGTCTGAAAGTTTGAGACATATTAACGCTGCTATTCGGCATTACTTGTACTGAAATCAAGACCAAAGTAATTTAATTTGAGGGCAACCACTGTAGTACTTTGAATGTCCCTAGAAATAGGTGGGTTTTTTTCACTTTTCCTTATTTAATTTTGTAATTGCATGGTCAATAAGCACACTGTCAAACTTAATGCCCCATAAAAATTTATTTCAGTTTGCATTCTGGAAATCTTCATTTTATTCTAAAAGAAGTAAGGTTTTACAGTTTCCCTGTTTAACCTTAATGTCTCATTTGTATTGGTTATTTATCCAGTTTTGAGCTTTTCTGCAATGTCTTCTAGCTCTCTGCTTAGGATACACGTTCAAGAACATTTCTGGACGTTCAAGACAAAGGACTTCCAGGCCTCTTTCACATCCAAGTCAAATATTAATTTGAGTTACCTGTATGAGTAAATGAAAAAAAAATTCTTTATCTTAGCTTTCCTCTTCAAAACTGATACCCTTTATTACATGCCTCTATTTACTCTTCTACTTAAATGATTGTCAACTGCCTTATGATCATGCAATCCAAGTCTATTTTCTACAACTGACATTTTGCAGAACATCCTCACCACTTAAAAAAAAAATCAAATTTTATAGGCAAATCAGCTTTGTTGTTTCATTGGTGGAAGCAAGACAGTTTCCATATTCTGAGGGAACTCACATGCTTTGTGAGTAGCTTGTGGTCAGAAGCTCTAGCCAGGAAAAAAATACACTGCATGTGATTTTCTCAAGGTACACACTTGACAAGATTTTGCATATTTACTCTCAAGAGTGTGGTGGCATAAAACTCTTTCAGGACAGGTAAGTTCCTTTGAGGCCTTTGCCTCACAGACAAGGTTCTGGAATACTCTAGGGCAGTGGAGCATCCTGGGATGCACAGAGCAGTATTTAAGGGACTCTACTTACACTCTTCTCTCACAATCAGGTGCAGTTTCGCTTCCATTACACTTTGCTTCTTTATTTTTTTACACTGCAAAAAAAGAACATGTTCCTAAAGCAGGTATGTTCTCCCCACTGCTATCTTTTTATTTCATTTTTCTTTTCTTTTTCAAACAATGAAAACTGATATGCTTGAATAAACTATAAATATAAGTCTGAGTTTTAATTAATAAAGACTATGGAAATAATCAACTAACACATATGAATTATTAGCTTTTTACTAGACATTCTGTAACAAAGCAATTTCAAAGCTGTTTCCAATTCCCTCACATGCCAGATGAAACTGGGTACTAAATAAAAGATGGGTGCCTGTGAGATGAAGAAGGAGTGGCAGTAATATATTTGTCTTACTTATTTTCATACGAGGCTTACACAACGGATGTCCTCTAGAAATAATTTAACAAATGTTCTGCTCTTTTGCATTGCTTTGTAATTTAAAAGGAAAATTTCTATTATGCTCTTTCTCTGAGGGTCTTTGTGGCTTCAGCTAAATAATTTTTTTTTGTAGACCATGACATTATTTTCAAAAAATTCAGTCAGACTCAGGGAAGGTCCCATTATTGTTCCATGGACTGTGTGGTTTCATATATTGGTAATGAATGAATGACTCAATGCATTTCATCAGTAAAAGAGCACATGATTCCTTTTTAGGACAACATTGGGAGCTCATACCTTTGTAGGGGATACTAGCAGAACACTAGTAATGTTAAGAAGTATTCAGGATAGATTAAAACCTCATGTCCAAAGACTACGTTTTTGTGAATATCCCCACCTTTCATTTTCATGGATCCCTTCATCCTGACTGAAAAAAAAGGAGCATTTAAGCACATGCTCAGTTTTCTGCCAATATGCATGTACCAGTCTGAAATCAGGACTGTTAATCACATTTCCCAGCACTAGTTAGAGGTGACTGCTGTTTGGAGGCATTGGTTCACTGTAACTCCATTTCTTTTAACTTCTCATGTGGGGTCCTGACTTAGATTTCTGTAATCCTAGTGTAGCACTCAGTCTTTCTAATGAGACTTCAGCCCAAGTAATGCCATGCACAAGCAGATTTTTATCTTCCTGTAAATTAACAATTCTGCAAGAAAGTCAAATGATTCTGCTAAACACACGAAACTGGCCATGCTTGAAAATTAACTTTCTAGTCATTGCTCCAGCCCATGTGGCACTTGACAAGAGCTATAACACTCAGAAAAAAACATGTTAATTATCACATGACTATTATTTATATCTCTATTTCTTGAAACACCATTCAGTTATTAAAGATAGTGAAAAATGGCACTATCCAGAATGAATATGAAATGAATATTCATAACATAGCTAATTGTCACTGACATCTCAAATTTCATTATAATTTCTGTTTTGCTTAGCACTTTCTCACACTTGCAATAAGCCCATCACTGTGCTATTCAATTACCGACTATAACACAAGTCCAGACAAAATTACGTATACACTGTAGGACTCTACATTTCATAATCAGCAATATAGTTAGGATGTTTAGAGAAATGCTTCTTATATCAGTATAGATGCATTTATGTAGCACACCAGGTCTTAACTTACTCAACAGAATCTTCCCCTTTTTTTTTAAAATAGGCATTGTGTGTTTTAATTTGCAGCAAATCTAATAATTTAAGAGTTTTTATACTTGTTAGCGCAACTAAAATCAACTTTTCCCCTCTATTGGGACATTATAATAGACTTTATTTATTTACTCACTCAGTGCATTTCTTCACTCCTTTGAAAGTGCAAGTAGGAAAATCCAACTAAACAGAAAGGCTTACAAGTGAGACATACTAATGTTTATCGAGACCATTATTTTTCTTGCAGGCTTGTTAAGCTCTTAAATATGCATTTGTATCAAGGTAATGTAGCCCATGCTTTTTGTGTAATATCACCTACTTCACATACACATAGACAATAACAGAGCTTAATTTATAAATTACTGTGGTTATAATGCTGGCTATACAAAGCCAAAGGGAGATTATTTTAGCTTTAAAAATTGACTTGGGGAAAATTAACATAGTAAACAAGCATATTAAATACTAACTGCTACAAACCATACTGATTTTTGCTGCTGCTAAAGAAAGTTATCTAATTTAAAATATCTCTCAGACTTTAACAAGCACTCCTCTTAGAAACACTTTCCTTTACAATCACTCTTATCTGAACTGCATTAAAAAAGAAGCTGTTCATTGCCAGCTGTTTAGAGCTGAATGTTTTGATCTGGAAACTGTGATGAGGAAGTTTGTCACAGGTGGGAAAGTAGTCATTTGGGAAGGAGAATTCTTGATGGTTTGATCATGACATATTTGCCAGAATTCCTGGAACTGTGGGTCAATAAATCCCCTTTTCCATAAAGGGGAAGAAGTCAACTCCTAACTAGAGGGCGGTCAAGCCACATGGAGCTGCAGAGCCAGCTGCAGAATGCCCACTGACTTCTGCTGTGATAAATGTCAGCCTCTGAAGCAGTTATTTACAAGCTCTGTCTGTGGTAGCCCTGAGATTCCCAAAGCATGGTTGGCTGCAGTATTATGCATAAGTTCTTTCTATCACAGTAACCAAGGCAATAAAGACTGAAGCTGACAGGTCACAACCCCATTACACTTTATGGCAACTGACATTCTTTTTCATTAATGGATACTTTTAAAAAATTTAAACCATTTTAAGAAACATTTTCCTAAGAAAATGTTTGTGTATCTATAAAAAAAACCAGCTTCTCTCAGCTCCTCTTGGGTGTGCTCTCATTATTTCTTTTACTTTCTGCTGCAGAAGTTGCACAAAGGTATATCAGCAGGAAGGACAAAAAGAGCTGTGTGTATGAGAAAGTTTTAGACTAACTGTACACTTTTGTTCTCTAAAAAAGGTAGTAGGTAAAATTTTAAAAACTCCTTAAAGGGAAAAATCAGTGCAGACACTCAGTTTAAAACGGATTTTGTCTGTCTGGTATTTACAAAAGCCATCCATGATTATTCTAACTTAGATAAATATTGAATAGAAAAAAATAATCTCGAACAAGCATCATAAGCAGAATCTTTCTTGAAAAACAATTATCTGGTGACACTCACAGGCCTAGTTAGCTGCCCCTCTCTGAAGAGGGACTAACAGCTAATGACACTCTGCCAAAGAAGTTCTGCTGGAGGTCATATTTGATACTTGTGACATTTAAAACAGAAATGTAGAAAAAAAAGGTGTTAATGCTGGGAAAAGAATCAGTGAACACAAACTGAAGCACAACTGAGTTGTTAATCTTTATATCTATCTAAAAATACCAGTACTTTCTTTATCGATGCAGCTAGCTGTCTGATACATCCTCATTCTGTTTAAATATGCTAAACATAAAGACCTATTTTAAGTGACTTGAAGAATACAATGGGAAATATGTTAAAATGACATTTTACATGAGATTTTAAATACATGTTTCCTTGAACTCCACCCTTCATCATCAGTTAATCAGCTGGGAGAGACAAGCTACACTGTGGCGTGCAGAAGTGTATGAAACAGGGCACAAGATTCAATTCATAGCTAAAGTACTCCCAAAGATGCTGGAGTCACTGTTAATGGCCTGGATTCAAAGTCAAAAAAATCCAGACAAGATACCTTGAAAATTCAAATGAACCACGGAAATTAGAAAATGTTCTCATGAGAGAACAATCAGGTTCTGTAGCACCACACATTCACTGAATTTTTTCCTAATCTTTGTGGTTTGGAGATAAATTTTCACAGGTGATCCAATAGCAAACTGGTGTTTTCTTCTTCAGTTTGCAGTCCAGTAGGAATGTGAAGATATGTTATAGAGCTTTTAAAGAAAAACAAGAATTTTAATGGGAATCTTTAAATTTCCCTTTGGTGTGGTGGATACTGCTTTTCTGATTACAGCAAATGTTGAGTGAAGCTGCTATTAAGTTCTTTATGGTTCCAAACCAACAGTACTGAACTCACTAAGGGAAAAAGAAATTGGTTGTCAGAAAAGAAATGGACAAATAAATAAATATACTGGTAGAAGTCAGAGAAAAATAATTTGCAATACTGCTATTGGAATTGCTGTAAAAAGCACGGCTTTAATCTACTAGAGAAACCCATTCAATGTGAAGACATGATTTTGACAAGAACAATGGGAGAGTAATTACATCCCAGTTTATGACAGATTATACTATTAAACTGGCACAGTAGTCATATTTGACCTCACATACAGAATAGTTTTTTACAAAATAAGCAAGCAAGAGAACAAAACATAGTACCTGTAATAATAACACAATGTACAAAAACACTATTTAATTGAAAATTTTGATAATGGAAGACAAGGCAACAAAAGGAAAGTGAGATGATGAACCCTTCTCTTCTAAACATCCCTTGTTCTACTTTATATCTACAGGATATTTGAGTTCAGAAAGCAAAAGATCACCTCATTTGGAGACGAGATTATTTTCATTCAGATATAGACATTGAGGTCAATGAGATTTACCTCACAGGTTTGAGACACCAAATTTATGTATCTACATGTGACTTACATAACCAAGACATCAGTCCAGTCAGTAAAAACCTGTAGTTTCAGTCAGCTGTCTAAACACAGTATTGCTTTCCCATTTAAAACGCCTTCCAATTTAAAATTTCTTTTTAGAGTATCAGAGAAAACCCCATGGGACTGGTAGATATCACAGAGGACTTCAAGGACACTCTTCCAAAGAAGAGGCTGGAGAACAGGCAAGAACACCTGAGGGATAGCTCATAAATTTGACCTCTGTGCACAGACAGCTGGAGCACGGACATTTGATCAATGGACCCAAAGATCTGCTTAAGCCCCTCCAAAAGGGACATCTTCAGCAGATTAACTGAGCCGATCCCTACACGCCCCTGCAGAGGACCAGGATAAAATTAGAACTATGAATTAAGTAATGTGCATCTACTTTCTCTTATGCATACATATTAAGTGGTTGGTTAAACATTATTCTGCAGTGCACATGTTCTACAAATGAGCAAAGCCTTGGGTTCACATTAACCAAGTGCACTAACTTTCACAATCTAGTAGG